GAGAGAGAGAGAGAGGCCTACGCGAATCTTGCGTCTAGTTGGCTCATCGACGGCGCGATGAAAATACGTGGGAGCGAATGAGAGCTACTTCACGTTAAAACATCCAGGGCTTATGGCCTATCTAAAGGAACCACTATACCCATGGTGCGTTTATACACAAGTGGATGAACGCTTCTTTTTACGGAGCGATGAAAACCTGACGTGGCGCGCAACTTGCTCTCCTCGCGTCAATGCCATCAGAATCTTAGAATGTATAGATAACGATCTCGATTTTATCATTGATTTAACACTCAGTTAGTATTCATTTCAAAGGGTCTATATAAAATCTGTATCTATTTTAATCAATCTCTGTGACGTATAAAGAGCTGTTTTTCTCGTGTTTTCGCATTGCGTTTTGTATACCTGAGAACTTTGCGCGTAAACATTCTACCAGCACTGGTACGCATTACAAAAAAAAAAAATAAAAAAACAGAGAGGGGGAAAAAGAGAGGGAGAGAGAAAACGGATGCGCTACCCTTTGCAAGCGCTCGTGAGCTCTCTAATACCGCAAACTTCCTGATTTCGTGGCTTTGACCAATTACATACACGTAAAACACGCTGTGCACCTTCGCTGCGCAAATACGACCATTCAGCATGCTACGTCAAAAACGTTACGTACTAAAAAAAAAACGGGAAATCGGGACACTGCGACAAATCAATATTGCGTTCGAACGTCACAATGGGAGCGACAAGTACACAATGTCTGACGGTTCACTCTGCATCAGCAAACTGATGAAACGGGGAGATTGACAGTTAGATGAAATTTAATGATTCTATAAACACTGACCTTTTGAAAAGCCTTGGTAACAAATGCAGTTTTCCGAAAGTAATTATCGAGTATATGTATTCCGCGTAAACAGGTGCGATGGGGGGGACAACAATGCACTTTTAAAAGAGAAAGGCGAATAGATCTTTTTGTAGATTTCGGCTGTTCGTCATAATAAACGGACACGGTAACTAATGCATTTAGTTGAACCTGCATGACGAGTTACTTCACATCCTTATAACTAGCAAATGCATGTAGATATAAATTACTGATTAAATCAAAATGATAGTAATGTAATTACGTAAAGGGTAAGTGTTTTGAAGTGTTTTATTTCTCTGTTTGATTTATTTAAAAAAATTGGAATAGCGTTAGACAGATATCTGATATATCTAAGAGGATGACTAAGTGTATGGTATCTCTGGACTGGTATCAACTAGTTCCCAGAGCTATCAGAAAATATAAACATCTCGCAAACTGGTATGCTTAAATATAGATACCACTTATGATAACTGATAAGCGATCATTGGAGTGTGTTAATGACACGGCGCTATACGCACCCCCTGACATCTCGTCGCGTCTATCATCCCTCCAGTAGTTAATCGCTGTATCTATCCTGCTGTTTGACAACCGAGTGGCAGGGTGAATATAGCGTCCATCAGCAATTTAATACCCCGTTTGGGTTATTCGAAATAGATACTGTGCGTTTATACAAGCTCTTAAATTCCGCTTTATTGTCAGTTACATATATGCGCATCCGATAAGGCTCATTACGTGATTTCTATAAAGTGCAAAATATGCGAAAGTTGTATTTCAGTCGATAATCCAACTACTTGACTCGAATCTACTGTAATAATTCGCCGATAATGCAAACCCTATTGACAATTTTAATTCTATACCTATCCTTTTGATGTTTTTTTTGTACGTTGACTTTTTTTTTTATAAAAAAAGAAGTTATTAATTCTATTGTATAGTTTATAAATTCTTTTTAATAAAAGTAAAACGATATTATTTTTGACGATTTGACAACAATATTCGTTATGCTATTGTGTATTATTTGCATAATAAAATTGACGGTAACCAAAAACAAGAACGCATAAACCGATAACATTTTATGCACTGAACTCAGTATTCGAGAAATATAAATTGTGACGTGAAAAAATATAACAATGTACAGACTAAATGGAATTTTTGAATAAATACGTATAATTTTATTCGAGAAAGAAACACAAATTTTTCCTGCATGAGCTGCAATATTACTTATTGACAAAATTCATATCACAAATTATTAAAAAATTTGATATGACACAAAATATAATATCAAAAAATACAGCACTTTCTTCGAGTACTAAAATTACATAATATAATATCCGTTGTCTCAGCATTATACTTACTACTGGAAAAGAAGTATATTTACGAGATGCATCCTATACAATATAAAAAACATGTGTTATTTTTATCTGTTATTAGCATGTACCTTAAAGAAAAATGACTTTTAAAACTTCCTAGCATCAACGTATTACTTTCACTGCAGTCGACAATTTTTGTAATATTATACGACCTTAGTATCAAGTCTATGTAATAACAGAGGTCTATAATTGTAATAAAATTATAATTATATATAATTAACCTAAAAATAGTGTTGTATTGTCTCACGTGCAGAAATTCAACTTCCGGTGTTTGCAATGACAGAAACTGACTGTACTAATCGAACAGCTCTCGGAATACCCAATGATTAAACGAGGAAGAATAAAGTGTAAAGCAAATCCTTATCATTTATTTATCCGTGCTGAGGCTTCCCAACACCCACAAGAAATGTAACGGGCACCGCGTAGCAGCTAATTTAACTTCGTCGTATATTTTATGCTGATTAGAAACATGAAATATAATCCATTTCACACGGCTGATTATAATATTAAATCTCAGGACACTGTATTACCTTATTATCTCCGTCAAACAAATCTTGATTTTATGACATTAAGATATTATAAGTATAAGATATGACTGAACTCGTTTTATTGGGTGTAATAACGATCAGGATGAATATAATACGGGAAATCGATGTGTGTATGTGCGTACATTGAAAGCCGACTATAAACTTTTTGAAGTTTGAAAAATCCAGCTTCGCAGATTTTTCATTTGTGTGTACACATTTTTTTTTACTGGATTATCCATTTTTTATTTTACATATCGGTTTACCGCGTATCTATGCGTACACTCGTTAAATAACGATTCAAAAAATTTTTTTTAAAACCGGGATTTATTTGTCGCGCGAGTTGCCAAAAAATTATTTTATATATATTCATGTTCGCTTATCCAGTTCGTCTCTTCGAGAAAGGAAAGCGTTCCATTTACGTCATCGGGTTTTTGAAAATTCGGCTAATCTTAATATGCACATTTATACTCCCCGGCTGTATTCTTCGCATACAGGTATAGGAGGAATTTATGCATGTACGTAGACATCAGCACGCTCATGTAATACTTGGCGCGCACGCTCGTCACGCGTTGCACCGCACTTACCCGCTTCCCAATTTACAGTTCGTACCCCGAGGGTACCCGCGCCGCGAATATGTTAATCCCACCGCGAAATAACTAAACGAGTTCGTCCAGGGTCCACTGATTGCAACAAGAGAATTCGCAAAGAGTACGAGAGAGAGAGAGAGCTCGTGATCCGTTAAACAAGACGCGCCGCGCGAAAGATAGCCAACGCCGTGTCATGCAAAATCGTCGCCCTGAGTATTCGCGGAATGTCATTTTCCGCATGCACTCGTTCGGTGAAAACCGCCGTAACGGCGGTGAGATTTAATACGGGGGAAATTGAGCCGTAGTATACACGCGTTCCCCGGTAGCAATACTAATTCACGCTCAAATCGCATTTGCGCGAACGCGTGTTTAATGGTCACATTATTCATGAAGTAACGCACTCGACTTCTTAATTAAAAAATAACTGAAATTTTTCATGCAATTGGTCATCTTATTTTGATATACATTTAACATTATTGTATCGTAAATATAAGTATGAAAGATAGAAAAGTCTTCTGAATAACTTGATTTTTATTATGTATAATATTAATTATCATCTCTTTTTTACAATAATAATTTTTATAATATATAGCTTTTGTATATCTATATCTTTATGAAAAAAAATTCATCCCAGACTATTTAAATTCTAAATATATAAAAATATTTGTATATATTTCTTAAAATTTTGAATCTGAGAATTCATATTTTTCTACTGGATAAAACTTGAAAAGATATATCGAGAGAGAAAGAAAAAGATTCCTGTTTAAAGCCATAATTATAGATACCTTGACAGATCGCGACTTCATCGACGATGATCCGGACGATGTCCCACTTACTCGTTCATCCAGCGGACAGTTCTTGGACTATTAAGCGAGCCACTAAGCAAGTTAGCAACTGGATTACAATAAGTTATGAGATTAACGACGGGTACGATGACGACCGGCGGAGTCATGGGTCATAGACGCGAGTCAACGGTTGCGGCGGCGGCGGCGGAGGCGGCGGCGGAGACGGCGGCGTGCTGCGAAAAAGCTTTGAGCGAGTTGTCGGGAAACGAGAATCGCGCAGATAACAACAACGAGCGGCGGGCACGGGTTAGATTTCAATGCGGTACGATGTAGCGCTTTATGTGGCTCAATGTAGCGCAAAGTAGCCCCAGAATTTACAACATCCGCTTTAATACGCCTTAATACGCGGCACATTCGCACACGACTTAAAGAACGGGATCATATCTGTCGACGGCGATTTATGAAATCGTCCCTCGCTGTCTCGGAGATAACGTCAGCCCGGCATTCCGAGGTCTTGCTCGTATTCGCGATACCGCGCGGTGCGTTTTCTGCGAGAAGCGCAACATAGTATTCCGCGCAAACTACCGGCTAATTATAATACCCAGTCCAGGAGCGACCGGGATGACCAACGGTGGCGGAAGTCTCGAGTCTCGTGGACGGAAAATCGGTACTTGCGATGCTCGATTTAAACACGAATTCTTTGGAATCGATCGGATAAAAAATGCAGACTTCGCGAATAAATTAGAAATAAGAGATGATGATTAAATAGAAAATATCACGATATTATCTCTCACGGACGTCTTATTTCTATTTTAATGAAACATGGATTCGCGAAACAAGGATCATTATCAAAACAACATTAGTCGGGGTGATTCAACTTTACACGTAAAGTTTCCTATCGAAAAAAAGCACCAAACTTTTCAAGCATGACTCTCTCAGGCATGCAGGCGTGTAAATTATATTGAGATAGTAGTCTTCAATTATGCACCAAAAAGAGAAAAACGCTAATTGTGGGTTGAATCTAAATGAGTATTCATTAGCAGTTCGTTGCTGCTAATAATTCGCTCGTCTCGTAGTAGTGCCGCATTCTTCAAGAGAATTTACTAATATGAATCTTCAGTATGATAATCGGCATTGAGATAATGCTGTTCAATTACACTATCGAAATGAGATAATCAGTGTATTCCGGTTAAGCAAATGTGTCTCTCTGGTAGTTCCTTTCTGAGAACGTGCGTTTAATTGGAATGGCTCGGTTGTTTTCTAAGTGTAGATCTTATTAACATATTCGACGCGTTGCAGGATGAGAATTACATGCACATTTCCTCTCTCACAGCATTCGTACTTGATATAACGAATTACATTATCTTAAATCACACAAATTATTTTTTTACGACGCTTGATATTGGCATTTATACAATGAAATCGTAAAAACGGATTTAACTTAAATCAGATACCATTGAAGTGCCATTAAAGTTCATTTGAAATATTATATATATCTTCTCTTTTTTAATAAATTAAAAAACTTAATAAACGCAATTTCTTCTCTCAATTCATTTATCTTAATTAATCTTTTTACATTGATCATATACACATGCGTACAGAGCATAAAAAAATTAAAGTTTTCACATATGAAAATAAAGATGCTTTTTTATCATTATGTTAAAAACGGAAAATGTTAGAATAAAGAGATTAAAATATTACAATATTATTAAACGATATATTATTCACGCAAATAATATCTCATCTCACACTATTTTGGAAAAATGTATAATGTGTCGATATAGTTACATAAAATAATACGTATTATTAGTGAAGAAACATGATTTAATTTTTTATTATTAATAATGATTATTAATAACGAATTGTCATTGTGACGAAGCAATGAACGAGTGCATCTATCGTACGCAAAATAGCATACTTGGTATATTTGCTCATGACTGCAAATACTTATTTATATTATAACATCTCGTTTCTAGCACGGTCGTAACCGCCGATAATAATGAATGAGCAACGACATAGTTAAAATTTTAGATCTCTTGTCGATGAATAAAAGAGCTGTAGCTTCACCATCCAAGTATCGCCATTATATGCTCATCACACGCATGGTTAATATGTCGCATGCTATCTTACTACGTCATAAAGCTAAACCGCTACTTCAAATCGTGTCATTTAATAATAATAAAGTTAGTAAAGTATCCGCCTACGTAGCGGCTGTTAGGTCGAGACGCGCCCCCCTAATTCCAATTTTGTTCGTTCGTTCATATATTATTGAGAAATATATGATAATAATAGAGAAATAATACGAAAATAATTATAAAATATTTTGATTAATTTATAAATCAGATGCAAACATTATATTTACATCTTTGCGGCTTTGATCGACAATTTTAACATGCACGGTATTAATTAACTTTTTCAATATCGATGAAAGCAATGAATATCATTTACGATCTCATAAACGTTGTCATTGAAAAAATGTTGCTTGGAAATTATTTGAAAAGACGTTCCCAACAATATTCATTCGTTATATCTTCAGTGAATTTTCTACTTGGTAATATAATTTTTTGTAAACAAAATAAACTCATATTTATTGATAGCTTATGTTGAACGAGAATAAATTAATAAATTGGAAATTTTTTGAAAGAAATCACGAAATTAGACGTGTGCGAGTGATGCCGGATTCGGAAAGCTTCGAGCTTGCGCGCGAGGTCAGAAATCCGAAAAGGTACGTCCTGCGGAACCGCGGAAGCGTGGAGCCGGTGAACGTACTTGAAATCACACGGTGGATGGTCCGAATCGCAGAGGGCCCCGTACCTTCCTCCTTCTGTCTCTCCCTTTCCCCACTCTTTCACCATCGCCACCTCCACCATCATCGGCTTCTTACCTCTTCCCCCTCCTCCTCCGGGGGCGTCCCGTCGCACTAATAATTCGTGAGTACATTGCGGTGATGTTGAGCATTCCACCTGCCAACAGCAACCGGGTACATTCCCCCACCTGGTGGTACCAGCAGGAAAAGTGGCCGCACGCCTTGCAATCCCAGCATTTCTGTGTTGGTTGTGGCCGTGAACGGGGCTCAAGTCCAAGGACACGCGGGAGCGAGAGAGACCGCTTCTTCGAGTGCCTGAGGAGAGAGACTTCCCTGCGTGCGAGGCCCGCCGCGTTCTACCGCAGATTTTACCCTGGTTTTCTACCGGCGCGGCTCGCCACCGCAACCGTCCAGGTACGTGATCCGACGAAAAGATATCTACGACTACCAGACGCGCGACTCTCTCGCGCGCTGGCTCTGTTCCCTTCCTGAAGTTGTGCCGGATGATAAACAGTGTTGTATCGAGCGCCTCGTATATCAGTGAAATCGTAAAGTTCGACGTGGCTCTCCACGACGGCCGGCGTCTCTCGGAGATGGACGAGATTCCACCGGACGGCGATCCCGATCGTTTCCCTGTCGCCCGGAACGGGTTACGGAATAGACGCCGCCCGAGATATCCGTTCGGTGGGACGCTTGTCGCGGAGACCACGGGCGACGTAAGCGCGAATAAAAACGGGCGACGATCTATCTTGCACGTCATCTCCGCTGCGAGGAGAAGCAGCCTCGGATATTTCATCGAATAGTGAACTTCTCCAATGTACACTAACCGGTTAGAGATCTTCTTCCTGCTGTCGCAAAACCGGCGGGAAGAAAGGGGGTCGCAGTGATCTCGGAAAATTCGGACTTCGAGACGATCAGATTGTTGACCGGAGTAGACACCGGAGATAAAGAGCAGAAACGAAAAAAAAAAAAAGAGTACAAAATCGCATTCCCTCGTCGGCCGCGCACATCTCTTTTTCCAATTAAACGCAAAATTCTGCTTGTCCCCGGGCCGATCGGGCTCGAGTTTTTCCATTTCGCGTTTTCACGTCTCGCCGGGTGCTGGACGACGTGTGCGCTCGAATCCACCAGCGATACGCGCTGTGTTCCCGATGAAATCGATAAAGTCCCATCCACGACGGCAGTTATAGCCGCGCGCCGCGGCTACGTACGATGGATCGCGGAAAAACAATTTTCCGTCTCGGTGATCTCGCGCACTCGAGAAAAATTCCGATATTCCGCCGTCGATGACGATCTGGAATAATAATTGATCAGCTCCCCCCTCCCTCGAATCGGCGTGCAAATATCATTACGTATAATCGTGCCGCACAGGACGAGTCGTGGCCATTGGCCAATGTCGTTGTGAGGACGTTCCACAATTTTCTTGGAGCCGTGTCGCTGCGGGACGTTGCGGGGAAAAATGAAACGAAATTACGATGCCGCATTCGTAAGGCCTCCTCCGCAACCGTAGGATTACGATAGAAACGCGGTTTCCAGTGGGGTTGACTTCTGGCATAATTGAATTGAAGATTGCTTTTGGAGTTCCTTTCAACGTGAAAGAACGTTAGGAAGATACCTGTAATGTCTCATCCCGTTCCTCCTTCGTTCTTTTACGGGAATGTCAAGAATGTCCGTAGTGTCGATTGAGCTGTGCGTGACGTATAACGATTGAAGAGGTTGGGCATCGAGTTTTATATACATTTATATCGTGGCCCTGTCATCGTGAACGTTCAAGTAGAATTCTGCGCGAGTAGAAACGGTATTGCATAAAGAAGTTAACGGTTTTCACTAGTAGCGTAATCTTACCTGCACCGATAGAAGTTCCGACCCGCGCTTAATGAGGATCGTATATAATAGGACTATCCCTCGAATCAGCAGCTTGTACGCGATAAGTACATCTAGCTATCGACCGCACGCTTGATTAAGGATCGATAGAATCCCCGGTTGGTACTTTTTTCTTTTTTTTTTTTACACGGCATACCTCGCAAACAGAATGGAGGAAATGGAAATGTGCGTGAGTGCACGCGCGGTGTGCCATTTTCTGCCGATAAATCGCAACATTCTCCTCTACGGCGCAATTTCTTTTATTATCGGAAACGCCTATAAGTCACTCGCTGTGAAAATGAACGTATGCGAGTTTTCATCGCCGGAGTGTTACATTAAATAAAACAACACGGGTTTAAAATGCGCAGTGCGCGAACATGAGATTCTTACGTGGTGAAAAAAAAGTGTATGTCGGATTGAAGATCGTTTAACAAAAAGACTGATAACGTGTGAAAACGTTAACGCGAAGCGTTATTCAATATCGTTTCTCGTACATCAGATTCTGCTGTAATGCGTTAGCACGTCCTTGCAAATTCTGACAAATCGCTTTAAGCTCATAAGGTCGGACAAAAATTTTCATTTTCCGCATTTTCCGTGAATAGCGAACGCTAGTAGAAAATTAATCTTTGTGTAAAGTTACGAATTCACGACGAGGATACTAAATTAAAACGAAATTGTGACAAAAAGAGAGTGTAGTAAATTTGATCGAAGCGCGAGAAAAACCTCACGTTGACGTCTTACGTACGTAAGACGTAGTTTAATTGCCCGGTATTTACGAACAAGGAAGTTTATGATAATGCAATTCCCATGTTTAGATGATACAAAGCTGAGAGCACATATTTCATTAAACGCGTACAGCGCGTTGATGCATATCCCGCTGGATTAGCAGCGTGACGCTAACACACACGCTTCGCTGATTAGATATTTCGAAATTTAATTTCTCTATTTATAACCCCGTGCACATATCGACTAAGTGACGAAGTATGTGCCTGTAATTTAAGAGTTCGTCGAGGCGCCCCGTTATTCGTCGCGTCATTTTGGATGCTTCGCATCGGGGAACATTATATATATATATATATATATATATATATATATATACCAAACCGAGCGGTGCAACAGTATTCAATTCTTACTTGCACTCAGGCATTCGCGGGAAAATCGGTTCCTGTAATTACCTTAATGAATGGCAACAAAGGCAGGAGAGGCTTGTACCAAGCGATATTATGTTCTCCGCGCGGTGTTCTCCTTCGCGCGGTACTCTCCCCCTCATTTCACCCCGCCTCCCTCCTCTCTCTCACGCTATCTTCCTCTCTCCGCTCTCTATCTGAAGACCTCTCGGTGCTGAGACCGTTTCCTTCGCTATTACATTGTGGCGAACTGTTCGACTAACTTTGAAATAATTAGTCCGGATAATGAAGTTCGGCTGCACAATGGGCTTAGCAGCGAAGGGTAATGAGATTCGCCCTACCCGCGTATTGACGTTTCGGTGCGATATTGATTACTTAAAACGCTTCGATGGTCTTACCAGCATAAATGAGCGAATCGGATTCCAATGAGCAGTTGTTGAATCGGGGCAACTTGGAAATTATCGATGCGCGCGGCATTGGAAGACGGAACTGCTCTCGGTATGTCGCGGCGAAATAACATTACACGCATTTTATTTCTCTCCTTATCGGTACTGATTCGTGTTAATCAATTCTTACAATCGTGACAATACGTAACAGTGTTTATTATATACAGATATCGTGATTTTACGTATGTAAATAAGTGTATTACCATATTTTTCGCGATAAACTTTTCTTTCTGGAACGAAATGTTTCAGATTACTTGTACGAGAATAACGCAGATAATTTTTTCTACAAGATCATAAAATATGCATCATTAATATGTATAAATATATCTTCATTGATTTACATAAATTATCGACGATTAACTAGTCTCAACTTTTCTTTTTACTGTCTGCAACTATATCGGTCACTCAGCTGATGTAATAAAATTAATCTTAAAGCTCCAAGGTAAATGCAACGGCCTTGACCGAGAAGAAAAATGCACACTCGGACTAATACCCTGCTCTAATTCCGTGACCAATCGAGCATGGATAGGAAGCCAATCTCGATAAATACTTTAAGTAAATCTTATTTTACCTTTTCTCATGCCATCAGCAGAACCGAGTTATCGATACGTTACATCGTCGTGAAGAAGTTCCCCGTAATGTTTAATAATCCGTGTTATACAAAACAATTTTCCCTGCTGTCGGCGAAAAAAGAAAGAGGTCTCGTTTCTTTGAAACGTTTCGCCCCTCCCCCTACCCTCGAGTGTCGATGGGATATCATTCGCACGAATTTTCTCACTCGTGACCGAGCAATAAATCATCAGTGGGAAAACCGAGCATATCGCGTACATTCCGGTTTTGACGTTAATCGAACGAACGATGAAATATTAACGAGTGAATAATTTCGTGACAGCAAACCGTCGATAAGTCCAACGTCACGAAAGGATATTAACGTGCGGCGCACGTAAGGCGCACAAGCCACCGTGTGGGCCGCTAATGACATTACTTTCTTCCATCCGAATCCATATGGTACAGAGAAAGGAGATGAGGAAGGATATCGATCTCGCATGCTCGTGCGAACTTGTCCTTGACCGGACGCAAAATCGACGCAGCTGCGAGACGAGACAAGACGAGAACGCCGTGCGTTCAAGTCTCATTAATGAAAATCATATAAAAGGAGTAACGACCGGCTATACCCGATGTATCACGCTCCTGCATAACGGACTATTTCGCAAAGCATATATTTTATGAGATGACGCGAACGCGATTGATGAATGTTAAGCCGTATCTCCGGCCGTGTTCGCCTATTTGTGAAAACTCGACTTAACGAGTACCGCGAACCTCAAACGACAACTTTTCGCATGGTTTTTCTCTCTTCACATATCAAATAATCCGTCAAAGCCTACCTCAATTTCCTATATCAGTCAGATATTTATCAGGGCAAGATTGACTACGCATTTCCGGAACGCTATGCGTAGGAGATAACGGATATTCAAGTGAAATTTTGCCGTAGTTGGGATGGTAATGAGTTTTCGTAAACGAGTGACAGCAAGTGGCAGTAAAGTTATCAAGAAAACGAGCCGCATCAACGAGATATCCGTTTGCTTACTTGTGAATAATTAAAATAGTTTCGAGAGACAAAGAAGATCCTTATGTATATATATATATATATATATATAATAAATTTCTATTGCGGTAATTACTTCCTATTTCTTCTCTCAAGAGAAGAGAGCCGTTGCACCTCAAGAGCTGTCATTTCGTTTTGTATTTCGTAAATTTCGTTTCAATCTTAAAATTTATACGGATAAGAAATTAAGTGTCAATTAGAAATCGTATGATACATTGTTTGTCAATCCGACTACTTATCTTTGCCATCCACTAATTAATAGGATAGCACTTATTCTATTAAAGTTATAGAAAGGAAAATTTTTTTAATATTACACAAAGGCTTATCTTATTCCTGCACGATTATTATGTTTTTGCATTTTTGAATTTTAAA